GTATTGTAATATAAAATTTTCACTGTTTTACAATTGATGGATTTTTGAGCATGAAGTTGCGATCATGAGTGAAATAATGTTTACTTGTTCTGTCAACAGGGCCAGTAAACAGATGTATGATGTTTTACAGAAAACTCTCAGTTCCTTGAACACAAGCACACTTATCAGCTTTGGTAACACTGTTTTTTCGTTTAAATCAATATTTGTTTTCAGTGTTGGTACTACCACCCCACTTGTGTAGTGTGTGCCGCAAGGACCTCAAAGCCCTGACCCTATCCTAGACCTAAAATTTCGATAAATTGCATGCCCTACCCCAGACTAAACCTAAGAATTGTACTTCCTATTTTCTTGCTAACTTTTAAACAGAATTTACATTGTTTCTGTGTCGACCAAAAGCGTAGCTTATTTCGGGCTAAAATAAACCAAAACCTACCTCTATACAGACTAAAACTACCAAATTGTAACCCTATCCCAGAAAAAAAAAACATAACCTATCCTAGACAAAATGTGAAAAAGAAATACCTTAAACCAAGGCCCAAAATCCGAAAAACATACCCTATAGCGCGGTAAATACCCATATGGCAAATATAGAAGCGAGTGTTCCCGGGTCATTAACCTTATTCTACGCCACTCATTCTTATCTATCACAAATTAACTTTCGCTAAAAAATCAAAAATCAACGTACCAGCTACTGATCTTTTGAATATGATAACAATTCTTTATATTTACAGTTTTATTTGTTTGATTTCAGCGGTTGCTTATGAGTGTACTCGGACAATAGCGACGATTTATCCCCAACGAAAGCTGAAAAAATATTTAGCTAAATGCGTTGGACTGTTTCTTGTTGCCAATAGTAACGATATTAAATATTTAGGTATGTATTTCAAAGTCGTAAATATTGCTTGTTTTGTAGCAAAATTTGCATAGTACGGTAGCTATAATTGGCCAATTGTTCGTGTTTCATTTGCCTGACTATTGCTGTCAAGACAAGTCGAGATATTGCAAATACTATACTGCCTGGCGCACGCGCGCGCCCTGTATTTTCCCGCCTTTTTTCAGCTTTTTTCTGTTAATTTTTGAAGCTGTTTTTTTCTGTCGCCATAATACCAAAATGTCTTCAGAAATGCTCGAATATCTGCCGCAGCAATAACTTGACGCGAGCACGACCAACGTCTTTAGGCATGTCCAGTTACAATCCAAATGTTCTAATGGCCCATTCCTAATCATACCAAACTGACCCAATAGGCGATTTGCATTAAGCGATCACGTGATCAAATCCGCCATTTTGGCTGGAATGTAAACAAAGATGACGGAGCCGGCTTTTTTGACATCAAATCAAAGGTGAGTTTTAGTACATCTTTATTTACGTTCTTGTCGTGCCAAAAATTATCGCGCGACCAGCCAAAATGGCGGATTTGATCACGTGATCGCTTAATGCAAATCGCCTATTAGAAGGCAAGTGCAATGCCATGATAGTTCTATGTAATAATACGTAATCCYATGTAATGATTGTCTGTAGGTATTAATGCTCTCACGTCTTTAATCGACGTTGATGCCAGTTTCGCAACAGAGCCTTCGTATCAACGTATTGTAATCAACTGCTTGGATGACTCGGATGAGACTCTGAAACGCAAGGTATATATTTGCTATTTTTACTACATATACTTAATCAAAACCGCAAAGTATTCATGTTCTAATGGGCTACATCATCAAAGCTAAGAACGATTGGGAACATGGGAAAGGAAATACTACGA